ACTTCTGAAGAAGAGGACGTCAGCCGTGGCGTACAACCGGTCAAGTTTGCAGACAGTTATGTTAACTAGCCCGGTCGCCCTTTCTCATCTTGGAGATCGGAGGAATGTTATCTCGGTCAAAGTAAGTAATCCCAGTCACGCTTTCGCGGACGGAATTAAGGGGCAATTGAGAGGGTGATTTATGATCTGGAGTTGGGCCGTGGTAATGGTCGAGCAGGTTGAGAGCCCAACGGTGCATGGGGCCGAGATGATTGACTATCCGCCAAGAGATGGGCTGCCAGAACTGGGGCCGGGCAGAACTTGGGCCGAGTGTGTGTCGCCCCAGACCGTAAAGAAGCTGCTCGGTTGGACCGAGCTGCTCGATCAGACGATGGCCGAAGCAAGACAAGCGGAGTGACCGACGCCTGGAAAGGCGTGGTCAGCCGAGGTAACTATTTGACTGGCAGAAAGGCCGGCCACAGGAAGTGCCTCGGGCTAGGCTTTGCCGAAATGTCGCCTAGCCCGGTCCTTCTTGGACTTAGCCAGTGAAGTGCCTGGGTATGAAGCACGGCACGGCACGGAAACGGATAGAGCAGCTCGGCTGCTGAGCTCCAGCTGTGAAGGCAGGCAGTTGAGATTAGTGGATGTTCAGCAAGGTTCATGCTGACAGATGGGATAGCAGAGCCACGTGTCAGGGGATGACTGGGAGTAGATATGGGGCACAGAGGGTATATAAGCATGTCTGCGCCCTCCATACGAAGGAGATGAACACTTTGTAAGGATTTTCTTACACTAAAACACCTCCCTCTCTCTCTCTCTCTCTCTCTATCTTAAGGTGTGTGCTAACTTGATCGTCGGAGGGTTTTTCCGGCCACACACCGCCGGGTAGCTCACCATTCTTTGAGCGCAGGTGATCGGACATAAACGGAGCTCGGAAGAAAGGAGTACGGGCTTGCAGGAATATTTGCTCCCCGTACAATTGGCGCCGTCTGTGGGAAACTTGACAGACAAAACCTTGTCTTCCAGGCTCATCTGATCGCC